ACATTTTAACTAGTCCATGCTTGATTTTACCCAACTGTATAATGCCCACGTAAGGTTTCATCCTGATTGCTCTTGATGATTTGTTCATTCAGCATTTATTTATTTTATTTATTTATTTATTAAATTTTTATACCGCCCCCTCTCCCGAAGGACTCGGGACAGTGAACAGCCAAAATTAAAAACACACAATACAAATATTAAAATACATTAAAACGAAATTAAATTATCTTTGGCTTCTCCAATTTAAAACCCCTTACCCATAAAATTCTCCAATTAAAAGATTTTTAACCCAGCCCGGCTTGCTGAAATGAAAAAGTTTTCAGGACCCGGCGGAAGATCCGGAGGTCCGGGATCAGTCGTATCCCTAGGGGTAGCTCATTCCAGAGGGCGGGTGCCCCCACAGAGAAGGCTCTTTCCCAGGGGGTCGCCAGCCGACATTGTCTGACAGACGGCACCCTGAGGAGGCCCTCTCTGTGGGAGCGTGTTGGCCGGTGGGAGGTTATCAGAGGCAGAAGGTGGTCTCGTAAGTAACCGGGTCCTAAGTCATGGAGCACTTTGAAGATGAGAACCAATACTTTGAAGCACACTCGGAAAACCACTGGAAGCCAATGCAGCTCGTGCAGGAGAGGTGTCACGTGGGAGCGCCATGTCGCCCCCATAAGTACCCGTGCGGCTGCATTCTGCACCAGTTGGAGCCTCCGAGTGCTCCTCAAGGGGAGCCCCATGTAGAGAGCTTTGCAGTAGTCCAGGCGGGAAGTGACAAGGGCATGAGTGACCGTGCATAAGGAGTCCCGATCCAGAAAGGGGCGCAACTGGCGTATCAGGCGAACCTGATAGAAAGCCCCCCTGGCCACGGCCGTCATATGCTCTTCTAAAGACAGCCGTGCGTCCAGGAGGAACCCAAGTTACGCGCCCTCTCCGTGGGGGCCAATGTCTCACCCCCAATAGTCAGAGATGGCACCAGCTGACTATATCGGGACGCCGGCAGCCACAGCCACTCAGCCATTTCAATTCTATTGCTGATTTTACTCCCAACTGGGGGTCAGTTCACAGGTTGTTTGAGTACTGATTCTGGACTGACTTTTGCTGTTGCTTCTTCTAGCTTAACTTTTCCGTAGTTCATATCAGCTTTTTCCTTTATATTTGCAATTGTTGTTATCTGAGTTTCTTCTACTATTCTATCATTGTTTCTAGGCCCCTATTTTCACAATTTGTTTTCTGAATCTCATCCAGCTTTGCATCCCTTGGTGTTCAGTGACATTTGACTCTATCTAAATTCTTTTCTAATGGATAAATTATTCCTTCATTGGATAAATTCTGAATAAACCCTTTTTCAGTGTTCCAGTGTTCAAAAAAATATCTTCTGATGATGGTTATTATTATTATTAGTGATATTATTCAATTACTGTATGATATTCTTCTTGTTCTAGGCTTTTATTCTACATCCTTTCATAGGTAGCATGACTGTTTATTTTGAAGACTAATTTGAAGGCAGGGAAGGTATGTTGTAGACTCTGTCAGTTAACAAACTCCAACTGGCAGGGTCTAGAAAGAGAATTTTGTCTGCTATTGCCCCTGCCCCTATGGAATACTCTTCCGTTGGAGATGAGGCATGCCCCATTCTCCTGGCCTTCTGAAAAGGGGTTAAAACATGGCGTTATAGTTCTGTGTAGGAAGCCCAGAGAATCCCATTCCCTAAGGGTCCTCCCCTCCCCTTTTTACTAATTTTAATAGTATTGAATCACTCTTGCATCTTCCTATTTTTTTTAACTTTCACAGTAACAGAGTTGGAAGGGACCTTGGAGGCCATTTAGTCCAACGCTCTGCTCACGCAGGAGATCTGTACTAGGGATTCGAATCACCGAACTGCCGACTTTTCTGATCGACAAACTATTTTGTATAGTTAACCTTTTTCTGCATACCATCCATGATCCCTCTTAGAGGGAGATGGTCAGTTCAGAAATGTGACAAACAAACAAACAAATAAAATTAACATTTGATACTTTTCTCTTTGAGGAAAATTTTGGGGATTCTTTTTCCTTTTTCCATTTCCTCACTGTTCCTCATTGTTCCCAGGTAATCTTTTGCACATATTAAGTGTCCTAAGCTTGTTCTGTACAAATTTCTGTAAAATAGTCTGATAAATAAATAAAATACTTACATTTCAAAAAAACTTTGTGGTACACCTCAACTTTATAACTTTCTACATTTAACTCACATGTTTGACCCAGTAATTGCTTGAAGTCATCACAATTATTTTAAATTTTTCAATCTGCATCCTCTTTCACCCTTCAGGATTTTTTTTTTTAAAACAATTAATTTCCACTTTGGGGCTGATGCTTGTGTGATTATCCTTCTGCAATCATCTGGCAAGGAGGAAAAGGAATATACTTCTGCACGTTAGCTTATCCCACCTTAGCAAATGAAGCCTAAAATGTGACCTGTATATCATGTAGACATTTACATTTAATCAGTCTGTTTTGCTGTTTGAAACTATTACCTTGTTAGCATATATTTCTTTGGGATTGATGTCATTTCATTCATTAGCAGCCTTTTTAGAGAAATCTGCAAGCTGCATGCTAGTGATAAAATACCATCTCAGTTTTCCAAAAGTGCACATAAACAATATTTTTCCTTATTGTCTGCTTGCAAAATTATGCCCTTTACTGAAGTATCATTAAAGGGTAATTAAATTATAAAAGTTACAGACATTATATACATGTTCTATATTGCTGAAGGGATTGCCTATCAATTTCTCTTTTTAAACCCATGCCATTTCATGGACGGAAGTGTAAAACTGTTTTCTTAGTTTTGAATTTATCTTTGAAATTATCTCTGGGTAAGCTTCCATCATAGGGTCCCTATCAATCTCTCTTATCTTTTTAAAACCAAGCATGTTAACAATTCCCCAGCCCGCACAGAGTTGCAAGATGGGCTCCATCCTATCTTCATATTTCCAACAAGATTGAGGACACTTCCACTTATGAACAGATAGCACACCTTTATTGTATTAAATGCATCCAGAATCAAATTGAACAGCATATGCAGCTGGAAATTTGCATTAAAGTATCAGCCATACACTCCAGAGAAAGTATTGCAAAAATATATGTATACAAGAATTACTTGATACAAAAATCGCTACTGAATTCAATGGGAATGAATTCCTTCACCATAACCCTCCCCCAAGCTCTAATGCAGGGTTGTTTCTCACTCTGCCTCTCCCTCTCAACTTCTGTTACCTAGCAGCCACAAAGGCTGTTTTATAAAGCAATACTTTCTAGAAACCCAAACAAATTCATGATTCCAACACCAAAAGTCTCATGGATGGGAGTGTCCACAGGGTGTGCTAAAAAAAGACTAAAGGATGACCAGTTCTGTTTGTTTTTTATGTTGCTTTGTTATCTTCCCCCATATTATTGACCACACTCTCTATAGACTCTTCCTTGGTCATGGAGCCATTTCCACACTCCAACTTTTCTTTCTGGATAGCATTCATTTAGATTTTTTTAAAAAAAAAAAAACTTCATCTGTTGTTCTTTCATCCACACTATGCATATAAGCATAACGTGTAACTATCACCAGCTACTGAATGTGTAGTGACGTATGTACATAGCAACAATTCTTATGACCCAAGTTCCTACTTTCCCTATATGACCTTCATAGTTTATGGTTTCTTATCTCTTCATGTACTCTTTATATTGACTCTACAAGAGTCATTCAGATCTCTTATATCCTTCTCCATTCCCTTATTTTCACAGGTATGCATTTTCATTTCTTTCATTTCATTTGTTGATTCATGTTTTTTAGCACTTATATTCCATATTGCAATCTTCTCTATGCCATTATGGTTTTGGGGAATTGAAGCTTTCATTGATGTATTTAAATAAGACAGAAAGGTTGTACTCTAACTTCCCAGCTTTAGTTGCATTTCTGCCAAGTGCAAAATTTGCTTCTAACGGTAAGAACACTGGTCAGTTTTGATACATTTCCAAGAGTATTCTATAGTCCAAAACTCAATTTCAACCCCACGTGCAATTCTTTGTGAGCTATTGTTTAATCCCTAATCTAAAGACTGTCTCACAAACCAACATATTTGCTGTATCCAATCAAATAGAAAGTAATTACAGTATATTAATACATTTAGAACATCAATAATAGCATACTATCAATCACGATATCAATACACCAAAAACTCCACAGTTCAACCCCAAGTGACATTCATTTTCTTCCATTTGTACCACATATGGACATCAAATACTCTAGAAAGCATGCAAATGGGAGAAAGGTGCATGTAAGCAAACCTCCAACGAGAAACAATTGATTGCCTATGATTGCCCACCAATATCAGAATGAAAATCCACCTTCACCAGTATATTGCATGGAAAGCAATATACTACACTCACTAGAACTGATGGTAGATGGTATAGTTGGGTAATGAAACCTCTGTAAGTAAACAACCAAGTTGAGAGACACCAAGGACCCACACATAAAATATATCCAATAGTTCATAACACAATAAATATAATGATAGACTGGATTTTAAACAGTCTATGAGTATTTAGTGATGCTTTGAGCAATAAATTACTTTTAATAATAAAATATAATGAATGATCTTTTATTTATTTGCACATAAGCTATTATAGATCTCAGAGAACAGTTGATCCAAGTTGATGAGAGAAGGGTTTGTAAAACCACTCAGCATACTTACGTTAAGAATAAATCTTCCTTAATTTAGAAGGATTTGGTCCCTAATAGATTGATATATTTATAAATCACAGTCGTGTTTTTTTTTAGAGTACAGTATGTGAAGCTTCTCCCATTTAGCCAAACATCTATTTAAAAAATAGAATAATTCCTTTCTACGGTAATTTTCCTTTTATGTGATAAAACATAACCTCCTTTATGAGGACAGAAGGTGTAACATCCTTGAAGTGAACATTTTTATTTGTTCTGTGCACTACGTATTTTTTTTATAACTATATCCTGCTGTTACTTTTCAGGTTTTCCAGGGAAACTTTGACAATGATACTCACAGAAAGAACGTTATTGATCCTCCAATCTATGCACGGCACATAAGGATCCTTCCCTGGTCATGGTATGGCAGAATCACTTTACGGTCAGAGCTTTTGGGCTGTACAGAAGAGGACTGATGCATAGATCTGCACTTAATAGCACAACTCTTGATATTTCTAAATATATATAAATATATATATAAACTCCATAGAAGAAACTGCAAAACCTGTAGGAAGTTGAATGGGCTTTTCATGAATAAGTGCTCACTTTCTGGTAGGCTGTTCTCTTTTGTAAGGAAGTCTAAGCCTGCCCTTAAAATGGTCCGATTCTGATGCATATTCTTACCTCTTTTTTTTTGTTCTTTTGTTCCCTTTTAAATCTGCTCCAATTATTTCTCTGTTTTACTGTGAAAGTTCAAGTTCTCTTCTGAGTTGTTCTCATTGGCTAAAATGTGATAAGAGATAAAACAAAAATGCCATCATTTTTGCAAGGGAAATGAACATGGTTTTACAGAGTTCATTAGTAATCTGAGAACAAGCTGATGGATGTCATTATTTCCAAACCCATGCAGTCATCTTACAAGTGATACTGTGGCTTTAGCAATAAGTTTTTTCTCGGGAATGACTTCATTTGATTCTTTCCCTTGTGCCTATCATATACTGTCATGACAAATGATACTATTTTTGAAAACAAAAATCTGTGGTCTGCGGTCCTTCCGATGTCACACACTACATTTTGTAATTTCTTTTAAAAGAGCTGAGTCCACGCACTTTAGATTTCGTTTCCAGTTGTTTCGCTTTTCACTGAGCACAATGGGAACATTTCATTGTCTTTTACATTTAATCCCATTAACTGCTGCTATTTATTTTCGGTGAGCAAAGCTGAATTTTATAGGACAAAATCTGTCATTATGATTAATAATTACATTATGAAGTCTATGATTTTGTAAATGAATTCAGCTTACAGGTTTTTTCCCCCCAAAACAATGCTGGGCTGACAAGTATATGGACCAAATCTGAAGTTGATTCTCAGTTAAAAGAAAGTTGCATAAATAGCTTAATATGGCCTTCATGTGCTCCTGTCTTTTCTTCCTTCAGAGTTGGCTTGTTAATCTATGAAGGAGCTGCACCCAACTCCTTGGGTCAATGGGCAAGGGAGTCAGTGTGATAAAAAAAAATCTAGCATTCATTCCAAAATGAACCATTGTATCTTAGTTCAGAAGTGCAACCTTGCTACAGCATTGTCCATAAGCTACACTTCAGAGGGACAAATACAAGTGATGGATTGGGTGCTGTTATGAGCTTTCAGTTATTGCAAAATTCAGCTGTATAAAGTTATTTTGGGCACACAAGTTTGATAATAGAGCCAGGAACAGGCAAAGGTAGAAGGAAAAGCAGGAGAAAGCAGAACAGTTTTACTGAATGCAAACATCAGACTTAATTTCAAACTGAGCATGTCTCTGGTTCTTACTACTGTAAAGATACTGATGGACTCAGGTGTACATAGCACCTAATAACATCACAAAGTTAAGAGTGTAATTTCAATTCTTTTTAAAACAAGGAATATTTTTCCCTACTAAAAGATGCTATGTGTGTAGAAATTAGGCCACTAAAAGACAGCTAACCAGACCAAGACCCCTGCTACTGGAATTCAGCTTTCACTTACACTGTAACCCAGGACAACTATTCTGCCAGAGCTTTCTAACAATATGGAAGAAATAAAGTTATTTGGATAGGCTTAAGGTTTTCAAAGTGATGGTCTAGATCACAGTAAAGGTTCTTATTGTTACTGTAGCTCCTATGTCTCTCTGGGATTTCTAACTTATCAGAGGTAGTTATGTGACAAGAATTACCCATAATTCCAGGTCTCGGGCACCTTGATTAAGGAACATTGCTTTCTGTGCCTTGGATATCCTATCTGAAAATATACAGCTAGGATTCAATGCACACCAATCAATGCTAGAGCGCCATGTATCCCTAGTTTGTGCTCATCTTTAGCCAAACAAGATATGAGATGCTGTTACCATGGGAAGGAGGGTACCAAGACACTGCAAAAGGATGGCTAGAATGGCTTCTTGTTTCCACTTATGTCCATCCACAATGGCAATTATATATAGAAAGACAGTGAGAATTTGACAGATGACTTAATAAGAGGAATTTCTCTTGCAAATGAAACTCCAAGTTGTTCAGGGGTTTCTGCTAGATAGTGATCCTGGCCACTATTGCAAAGCACTTTCATTTAAACAAGGTATTTACTGAATGTACTTTTCTTACTTGAAACTCTAAATCAATCACCATCTCCATTCTTATTTTCATAAAAGATATGTGGGATGGGATGTTTTTTTTTTTTAACCTCATTAAAATAGTTCGCACTAAACATTTTTTTTTAAATTGCATTATTTCTTTTTTTTCCAAATCATGGCAATATACAATAAGCATGGGTTTTACAACCTTGATATATATATATATATATATATATATATATATATATATATATATATAAGAGCTACCCTATAATTGTAGAGTATAATTAGAAAAAAAAAGATTATAGCCAGCACTGGCTTCCTGTAGTGGAATGAATGGTGGGACAGATTATTCTTTTTGAAAACACAATCCCTTTACCCATGCAATATGAAGTTTAGGGAATTGTCTAGAGCACATTTGGGAATACATGGAGCAAGGGAGAAAACCAGCAAAGGGAGGAGATGGTAGAGCACAAGTAGATGTAATGTTATATGTATCCCAAGTTCTTCACTGATTCTCCTATAGATTTGCTTCATGTGGTTTGGACTTCATAAATTTTTAATTTTCAGATGTTATTTCTTAAAAACGTCATTCTAAAAAAAAGTGTACCTGTAAAAAAAGGAAGACTGCTGTCTAGACTTTTAAAAGATCAGAACTCACACATTTAATTTGTAAGGCTTAGACAAAGATACTCAGAGATGTTCAGTAGGGGAATCTAATCAAGGTAAGGCAAGTACTGGTATCTGTAAGGAATGCCAAGGTTCTGTGTATGTTTATGACTTCTGTGTATGTGTGTGTGTTTTAGTTGGATTTGTGCTGCATTACAATTTCACTAAACTGTTACTGTCCTGTCCGTAACTGTGTTAACATTTCTTAACAATGTTATTTATGGAATTGTCTTTGATTGTAGTGAATAATTTTAAAGAGAAAGTCAACTCTGATTGTATTAATGTGCGAAACTCTGATGGAATAAAGGTAGTAACCATGATGGCATTGAACTATATACAGCCCCTATTCTGCATTTTAGGCTCTTATGAATCTGTTCAATTCTAAATTTCTATTCTAGAAGTTAAAGCAACAGCAATAATCTGTAGCTTGTTGTTAAACCTTTCCTTTTATAGTGGATCTATACTTTAAAGCAGAGATTAGCTAAAGAGTGTGACTGAGATGCATTTCTTCAGCCTTTGAAAGCCACAGGGGAAAGTAACAATTATATTGAAATGCCAATCAGAGGGAGACATTACATTTTAGATATCTTTAAAAATGGGATCTATGCCAGTGGGGGTAAATTAAACTCTATGGAAATGTTGTGAGCCTATAATCTATGCTTGCTGAGGCAAAAAAAAAGATTAAATCCACCAAAAAGTGGTTCAGCAAGTGGTTACGGAGACTGCAAGAATAGGGCTGGGAATTTGCTTGTGGCAGGTTGCCCATCCTGGTTAGCAACCACATTCCTTCTTTCAGTGTTATTGGACCAAAGGTTGCACTTGTAGCCATATGTTCATACAATGCAAAATAAATTAATTCAGGTCCTGGCACTGAGAACAAATTCAGAACCCATATGCAAAGGCCTACATATGACTTGTCTTGAAATCAGGCAGAAAAAAACTGGATTAACATCTCAAGCAGGTAACCCATGCCAACCAAATCACTGCTAGTGTGTGTGTGTGTGTGTGTGTGTGTGTGCGTGTGTGTGTGTGTGTGTGTGTGTGTGGCACATAGCTACTGATTTGTAAGAGAAATTGCAGAAATGATGCATTTTGGCATATGTGGATTCCAGAGCAACATCATATTAATACTAAGACTGCCTCTGATAGATCAGAGTAATAAACATATTTTTTACTCTGTAGTAGAGAGTCATATAGAGGAAATTGGCCTGGGTCTACAACATCCCTTCAATAAGGAATGTTTTCTATATTGAATTTCAACATGGCAAATTTCTGATACTCCTAGCATCACTTCATTGCACTGATGAAATAGTTTGTGCTGCTAGTATTATAGACATAAAATGTATTAGTGCTTTATTTTTTTAAATGAAAGGAAGTGAATATTTAATTGGTTCCCTATTAACATATGTATCATAATTTACAGTGCATAAAATGTCATGTTAAAATGTAGTAATTGACATTCATTGTTCTTTTTGAAATGATTGTGTTATTTACCTTTCTTTGTTTATTTCTGTAAACTACTTAATTATATGATTCTGAAAGTGTCTGTTTTTAGCAAATATAGGCACAATTTGTTGAAAACTAATTCTTGCAAGACCTACTTAAATGAATAACAGGATTACCTTGCTATAGCTGTATTTGTATCCTAGTACAGCTGTAGAGAAACCTGATCATCTTCAGAATTATGTTAAATAGAAAATGGAAGCTTTCACTGATGCCAATGGGAGATTCCTTTGAAGTAAAACTTTCTGCTTCTCATGAGTAATTTTATCGGACCAAGGAAAGGAATGAATTATTTTTAAATTCCCTTATCCCCCCATAATCCTGTTAATGCTACCTTACAACTGCTATTTATACAGAAAAAAATGTGTATAAAACTGTTTTACTCATATAATGAATATATTTAATTTGTCAGTCAATTAGACTTGCAAAGGATAAATTTCTCAGTGAATTGTGTTCTTTGGATCTTAAATAAGTTGACAACTAAATTGCACTTTTTAATTCCATGTGTCATTGTTTGAAATTTTCTACTGCTTTAGGATGTATTCTGTAGTAAGAATGAATGCGTACATCTATTCATAATTGCTCAGTAAATGACACGGGTGAAACAGCCGTCACTGATCAAATACCTCCAAACAAGTCAATCCCATCAAATAAAAAGCTTTTTCATACAGAAATTTCACACATTCAATTCCAAATCATCAGATTTTAATAACTGAGTACTTGAATAGTATGTGATGTACATATTTGTTTAAGTAAGCCCTAGGTCTATAAATTGCATCTTATTGAAGAAAAATAATTCCACCATGAAGTTTTACATATATTACATTTGGCTGGCTGTGATTTACAATTTGTTTGTGCTAAGTCAGTTCAATACCAGTATTCCAGTCCAAGATAAGTAGCTGGTGAATGATAACTGGAGTTTTTGGCCTAAAATAAAGAAAGCAGATTCACAAAACTAGCCTAACATCTATGTGCCTCACACAAAATGGTGAATTTAGAATTAAGTCATGCAATTACACTATATAGAGAGTGTTTGTACAACCTTAGGCTTATGTGTATTTTTGAACATCAATTTGCTCTGTTCATGTGGCCTGTTTGACCCTTCTAGTATGATCATTCAGTATGAAAATATCATTAAATGTCTCATCAGTTTTAAGACATTCTGTGATTTATGTAAGTGCTCATCAAAATATTAAAACATAACAAACGTAAAAGGACAAGTATAGACTCTTTACATGGAATGAGAAAACCCATCTTTTTCAGGATTCAGTAATCATGTCACAGGATTTTGTATAGATAAAATTTATATGCATATTCAAACCTTGGATAAATGAAGCTTTATCTATAGCTATAAATGAAATGGGGGATGGCATCTGATCCTCCCTCTAGTTCTTCACTGTGTTTCAGAACAGGGATCTCAAACCTTGGCAACTTTAAGACTTGTGGACTTCAACTGCCAGAGTTCCTCAGCCAGCTGGCTGAGGAACTCTGGGAGTTGAAGTCCACAAATCTCAAAGTTGCCAAGGTTGGAGACCCCTGTTCCAGAAAACATTCTGTCTGTGTATGTGGAAGCCTGAGACACTCTATTGTCCCACTTCACTTGTGATGCAGACAAGAGAGAGGCGTGTGAACTTGCCCACTTTCAATTTATGA